CAAGTCTAATCCGCCATGACCATAATGTCAATGCTTTTAAAAAAGTTTGTTAACAGGAGATCAGAGGAAACACTGCCACACCCCAAAGACTTGACCCGATTTACAAAGTGCTCTTACCGATATCAGGTTACTCCGTGTTATTGCTCAAAACGAACAAATAATAAGGAACAGAATTACATTGATTTATCTTGCCTCGGTGTCCATTCCAAATATTAGGTATGATAGAAGACAACTATTGATTTTTTAAAATCTATTTCTTACCAGGACAACGGCGATTGTTGCAGTTCCGGGTTTGCTTGCTAGGCCCAGTGCAATGTTTTCCACCGTATGAAGGAGGAGGCCTGGAACAGGATCTTGTCCGGTACTGTGATCCAGTCCCACATGATTTAGAGCACGTACACCATTTACTCCAAAGACTCCAGCCTCCTTTAACTGAAAGAGATATTCATGTATGAATATTTTTTCCATGAGGCACAGTGGTCGGGAAAGGGGAGGTTTGAGCACTTGGTCTCGTAACAGGATAAAATAAAATTTGCCACGAAACTCTAAAAATTATCCGCGCTTGTTATACGTTAACAATCGAACAAGATTTGTTACCACGACGTTTCCACCAATTTCCGATAACATGTAACCAAATAGAAAGCAGTGATCGATTTTTCCCAATCCATTACTTACCAGGGCAGTGATGAGTATTACATCTCCTGGTCTGTCTAGCAAGCCCAGTACACTTTTTACCACCATATGCCGGGCGAGGCCTGGTACAGCTCCTGGTGCGGTACTGTGACCCAGTGCCACACGTCTTAGAACATGCGCGCCATTTACTCCAAGGCTTACAACCTCCATTTACTGAAAACGATCAAAACAATTGTTAAAGAAACAATGAGAGATGCAGAAATTCTTCTTTTACCCTTTCTGTTTTAGTTGTTGAATTGTGTACTTTTTCGATAGTTGTCGTGTATTTTTTTTTTCAACAAACTCACTGACTGGTTTGTCAACTTGGAATCGAACCGCAATGTTTGGTGTCCATATGCTCACTGACAGAAATATCTTCCCATAATCTTCCAAAAATGGTCCATTTACAATCAGTCATGAATAGTTTGTCTTATACATGAGGCGGAAGGGTTCCACGCAATCGAGCCTGTGTGTTGCTAATCTTCATCAGAAAGTAGACATTTTGTCCCACGTAACCCAAGCGTGAGTTAACGTAAGCCTCTGCAGTCCCTGTGCGCATGAGCAAGAAGTCTTGCGTGTCCGACTTTGTGCGCAAACAACCAACTCCCTAACTGTTAAGGAGGCAACCTTTCATATGTATTTGAATATCTCACCTGGGCATCGTTTGAGGAGGCAATTCTTATGCTGTTGGGACGAGCCCATACATTTCTTTCCTCCATATCCAGGAGGCGGGTTTGTACAGGACCGTTTTCGGGTCTGTAGTCCCGTCCCGCAAGATCCCGTACATTGTCCCCAGCTTGACCAAGCAGACCAACCTCCATCTGATGAAGAAGGGGAAATTGAAAAGGTAAGAGAAGAGCTGATGGTGATCAGATTTATCTAATGATATAGATTTACATTTCCTCATTTCAATTTCATATTCATTTTTGTAAAAATTCGATGTGAGTTTTCTCACCCCGGCACCTACTAAGGATACAATTCCTGTGCTGTTGAGATGCGCCCATGCATTTCTTTCCTCCATATCCAGGAGGCGGGTTCGTACAGGACCGTTTTCGCGTCTGTAATCCCGTTCCGCAGGATCCCTTGCATTGTCCCCAGCTTGACCAAGCAGACCAGCCTCCATCTAAAAATGGTTCATACAGTTCAAATCATTAGCCTTTACATTTAGTATTGCTGGTCAAAGTATCGGCCTTTCTAGAGCGTGTTTATTTTTCCTCATTCTGCCAAGCAATCTGAATGGTCCATTGTTGGACGTAACGTGAGTCCTGTGCCAAAGGTTTGCTTACACTGGCAAATAGAGAGGGAGTGAGATTGATAGATAGATAGTTTATTGAAATATTCAAATTTGCAGCCTCCTAAGGCTGAATTGCATAAAATTTACAAAAGGTTAAAGCTATATGGTGCGCCTAAATAAATAACAGTTTCATTTAATATAAATTGTCTTTGTAGGAAAAACCACGTATAAAAAAGTTCTACCGATTGGACACAAATGCTTTCTTGTAGCGATTGGTGCATTTCTATCGGAAACATAACAATAAACGCACCTAACTACTCACCTAAGTTGCATTGTTTGATCATACACGACTTGTATTCTCTGGAGGGTCCCACACAGCCGGTCCCTCCGGGTTTAGTGCAGGATCGCTTGCGGTATTGTGACCCTCTCCCACAGGTCTTGGTACACTCGCACCAGGCTCCCCAACTACTCCATCCTCCGGACACTACGAGAACAAGATAAGTAAGTGAGGAGAACGTGTCTCTAGCTCCCGCCAGTCTCAGTGATTTGCAGTCTATTACAAGTTTTATATTATTCTGCTTTTCGTGTTTAAGCCACCCGCCGTTCACAGGATCTTTTTCTAGCGGAAAAGGACCGAAAAGAAATGGGAAGATCAGGACACATGCTAAGGCTGTTTTTCATTTAAAAGGGTAAAACTCTTACCACCTGAATATTTACGCGATAGATCCCTTGTACATCAAGGAAATTTTGATAGTTTACAAATTGAATGCATTTTACAAAAATGTAAATATTTCTGGGAATTTATTATGTTATCTGTTCGAGGCCTAAGGTACTAGGTCTTTACAGATTGTGCTAGCATAATTTATGGCATAACTCGGAAAGATGAGCGTAATTTTTGTTTTTTTTTTTAATGAAAGTAGCACTACTAGCATTCTATTCCTCCTTAATTTTCCGGGTGTGGTGACTTTGCAGGCAAGGAAAAGATGAGCAAACTAACCAGGAAACAAACAAGAAATTAAAGAGAGGAAATTTACGCCCGCTGTCAAAACGGCTAAAGAATGAGTCCCTAGTAAGTACGTGGTGTAA